ATAAAAAAAGTTTTATTAGTTTGTTACATTCGTCTTTTAAAAAAACTACAATTAAAAATAAAAAAATGTGTTTATCTCCTCCGATAAGGTTTCTTTACTTACCCTTTTAGGTTTATTAACAGAACATTTTCCCATGATAATTTATTATTTCTTTTTTTATTTAAATATCTGAAACATCTTTTGTTTCAGATTGACAGCTATCGTTATTATTATTATAATAATACTACCAATAACAAAAAGATATAATAAAAATTAAAAAAAACTAAAACTGAAAACATGTTAATTAATATGTTACATTTAGTATTATTTAACATTGGGAAAGAATCGATACTTAAAAAAAGTAAACACCACAATTGTATTAATATTCATAATTTTTCAAAACTCGATGATGAGATAATAACGGTAAAACATGAAATGATATTAAAAGAGTCTGAAATGAGATTCGAAGTAGAAAAAGTATCTTTAACAAACAACTTTAATTTTAATTATAATAACATAATAAAGAGAAATATTAAAGAACAAAATCATCAATTAATTTTTAAATTTATTGATAATTTTGTAAAATGATTTATTAGGAGATTGGATAATAGACGAGAACAATTATATAAGAATGAATTACATAATTGGTGTAAAATTAAGAAGGAACTAAAATATGATCTTTTCAACAGCATATAATTAGTCTTACAGCAGTTTTTAATACATATTGATTCATGTTCTATTATTATTTTGTCAGGAGAATTTAAGAATTTAAGAAATTATTTTATATATTAAAGAATGTTATTCTGTAATATGAAAGTAAATTTTTTTGTATTAACAAAGATTATTTGTAAAAATGTGAAGTAGAGTGAGTTTTGATTTTTAATATTATGATACATTATAGATTATAAAATTTTTAACTAAAATAACAAGGTATATATTAGTTAACTGAAGTATTTTTATAATAAATAAAAAAATTATAAAAAAATTTGTTTACTTGAAAATAGGATAATTATTTTAATATTTTAAAATATTATAGTAAGTTTAAGTAAATTTTTTTAATTTCAAAACTATAGAAATATAAATTATTTTTTTCTTTTAAATTA